TTTTTAGGATGCCATTGATAACTTGTTTTGCCAAATCCTTCCTTTACCAGGAACTATACTAAAAAAGAAAACTAAAGATTCCTCTATTTTGAAGTTAATGTTCAAGCAATAAAAATGACCATCAATACTTGCTGTAAACATGTTTAAATGTTTTTAGAATGCAAGAAAGTAATTTTAGGACAATTTTACTAAAAAAAAAGTAAGAAATAAACACTGGTGTATACCCAACTTGTCTTTCCCACACCCTCTTTGCTTGGAACAATGCTAAATATTCCCAGGAATAATTACATAATTTGTAAAGAATGTTTGTTGTAATTTCAATAAGAAATTTTAAGAAAAAGAAGAAATGTTTAAGAATGCAAGAAAGTAATTTTAGGACAAATTTTCCTTGAAAAAAGTAAGATCTACTTGTTTTACCTATATCCTCTTTACAAGTAACTCTCAGGAAAACTTACATAATTTGTAAGATTCTTTATTTTAATTTCATTAAGAAGTTTAAGAAAAAGAAGAAAACTTATTCATTTATTAAAGTGCTACTGACACAAGTTGATTTTCCCACACCCTCTTTTCTCGAAACAATGCTAAATATTCCCAGGAATAATTACATAATTTGTAAGAATGTAATTTCAATAAGAATTTTAAGAAAAAGAAGAAAATGTTTAAGAATGCAAGAAAGTAATTTTAGGACAAATTTTCCTGGAAAATAGTAAGAGCCACTTGTTTTACCTACGCCCTCTTTACAAATAACAATGCTAATTATTCTCAGGAAAACTTACATAATTTGTAAGATTCTTCATTTTAAACTTATTCATTTATGAAAGTGCCACTGACACAAGTTGTTTTTCCTGAACCCTCTTTACTAAGAAACAATTGGGCTTTAACGGCTCTTCCTGAGGAGGGGCTACAGCGGGAGGAACCGGCTGCACTGGCGCCCCATCCGACAGATTACTCTCTGCCCAGACGGACAAAACATCCATGTCCCGCACCGGACTAGAGTCCCGGGACGACTCCGATAAGGGACTATGCACAGGAGAACGTGACCGAGGCCTAACCGGTCGGTTCGGAGCGACTACGCCTTGAATTAGCTCTTAAAAATTGGACTTGCGTCTGAGAAAAGGTCGCATCCTCACACGAATCCCTAGCGACAGGTCGCGGTGGCCGATGAATCAAAGCCGAGGGGAAAGCGACATATAATGCTAAATATTCCCAGGAATAATTACACAATTTGTTAGATTGTTTATTGTAATCTCAATAAGAAGTTCAAGCAAAAGAAATTAATATCGTAAACATCCTTTAAAAACTATAGAAACGTTGTGTATAGTAAATTCATTAGAATGCCATTGACAACCTGTTTTGTCAAATCCTTCCTTTACCAGGAACAATACTAAGAAATAAAACTAATGATTTCTCTATTTTGAAATTTATGTTCAAGCAATAGAAATGACCATCAAAAATTGCTGTAAACATGTTTAAATGACACAATTTGTATTTCCCACACCCTCTTGACTAAGTTACAAAATGCTAAATATTCTGAGGAATACTGTACTTACATAATTTCTTAGATTGTTTATTGTAATTTCAATATTAAAGTACTTCAAGCATAGAGAAAATAGAAGCAAACAAAATTTCCATCTAGAACATATTTTAATGTATTTATTCATTACAATGCCATTGACTTAACTTGTCTTCCCTACCCCCTCTTTTCCTGGAACAATACTAAATATTCCCAGGAATACTTGCATAATTTGTAAGATTGTGTTTGGTAGTTTCAGTAGGAAGTTCAAGCAAAAGAAATGGTCATCAAACAAATCTTTTAATGAATATAACAATATTTAGTTTACTTATTCATTCATTAGAATGGCGTTGACATAACTTGATTTGCCCACCCCCTCTTTGCCTGGAACAATACTAAATATTCCCAGGACATGATTTGTAAGATTGTTTATGGTAATTTCAATAAGAAGTTCAAACAAAAGAAATGAAATTTTTTTTAATGAATATACCTCTGCATTTTGTTTACTTATTCATTCATTAGAATGAATAAGTAAACAAAATGCAGAGGTATATTGTTTACTTATTGTTTACTTATTCATTCATTAGAATGCTATTGACACAATTTAATTTGCTTTATCCTTCCTTCACAAGAACCAATATAATTAAACTATTGATTTTTCCATTGTTCATGTTATAATAATAATAATGTAGGTGTATGTTTTGACATATAACAATAATAACTGTCTCTTATACACATCTAGATGTGTATAAGAGACAGCCTCTTTACTAAGAAACAATTGGGCTTTAACGGCTCTTCCTGAGGAGGGGCTACAGCGGGAGGAACCGGCTGCACTGGCGCCCCATCCGACAGATTACTCTCTGCCCAGACGGACAAAACATCCATGTCCCGCACTGGACTAGAGTCCCGGGACGACTCCGATAAGGGACTATGCACAGGAGAACGTGACCGAGGCCTAACCGGTCGGTTCGGAGCGACTACGCCTTGAATTAGCTCTTAAAAATTGGACTTGCGTCTGAGAAAAGG